CCTTGGGTGCTCTTAGGATGGGCGCCATCCCTGTGGTCCCCTGCAGCTGCGACCCACAGGGTTTTAGTGTCCCGAGGGGAGCGCCTGCGCCCAGCCTAGGGCCAGGAGTCCCTAGCCCTGCTTGTACCACAAGCAGATGTTTGGCACGGAAAACTTCATCAAGAGACGGGTTTGCACAGCCGGTTGTGCAATGAGCTGCTCTGGGTTGGCTGGGTTTCCAGGACAGCCCCCCTTTCCTAGCAAGTGTTTCCAGCAGTGAGGAGCAGAAAGAGAAAAGGCCTTTGCCCACTGCACTGCTCAGAGCTTGAGATCCCCATGGGTTGGCAGAATGAGTGCATGGCCCCACTGGCATCTGTGGTCCTGCAGAGGGTGGGAGTCAGGGCTTGTGTCCCCATGGCTGGGGCTGTGCAAGGAAGAGCTGTTGTTGGGGGTTTAACAGGCTGAAGGTTGCATTCGGCGCTAGGGTCTCCTAAGGTACGGGTGGAAACATGGAGTAGCAGCTGCCAGCCTCACTCCTGGGGTCCTCAGGCACTCTCTGGAACTAAAAGAAGGACCTGGAAATTTTGGGTGACTTAATGGCTGGAAAATTGCAAACTGCATCACCGAAGGGCCATGCTTAGGTTTCTTTCTCTTACCCGTATCACGTTCTCATGCTCTGGTGTCTGGATGGTCTCAGATTTCAGAGAGCGTCAGTGTCCAAAGTGCTGAGGTCTCTAAACACCCGAATCAGGGCTTTTAACTACATGCTGGGATGGGGACTTGTTGGTGCCGGCGAGCTGAGCTCTGCTGGGTGGCCTAAGTCCTTTGGACACTGTGGAGATGCAGGAGGGTGGCAGGAGCAAAACGCCTCCCAGCAAATGAAACGATGGAGGGAGAATTTGGGCTGGGAGCCCTGTGGTCAAGACTGCGGGATGTGGGTTGGACGTCGCATCCTGCTGACCCTGGCCATGGGGCAGTTTGTCTTGGAAGAGGACAAGAGGAGGAACAAGATGAGCAGGAAAAAGGGTAAAAGCCCAGCGGGAGGTGGTGGGGATGGGTTTTTGTGCTTGTTCTCCTGTAGGGAAGAGTTGCTGCTGGACCGGAGGGCAAGGTCTGCTCGCCAAGGCAGCTCTTCTCAGCTTGTTTGTAAAACAACACAGTAAGCAGGTAAAAAAAATAAAAAGAAGGGAAAGCAAAGACAGGAAACAAACCTTGTGACAGCAGGAGTTGGGCCCTGAGACCAAAGGACAGCAGACAGGATGCCATAATCTTTACTATCTAACTATATATGTTACATTGCACAGACATAGCAGATGCAATAAGTTTTAGTGGTATTTAACACAGGTCTATGTGATATCAACTGAGTGAGGACAAGCCCTTGGCCGTGTCCTGGGTTCATGGATGGGAGAGATGAGTGAGGTGCTGTGCATTGCTCGTGTTTCCTTTGCTAGCAGTGATTTGTCTGATCCAGGGACCTGATGCTGGTGTTGCCTGGCCTTTTGCTTCCACTCCTGTTGGGCATAAGCTGAGTGTTTTTAGGGCAGGGCTCTACAGGAGTCCCTGGCACAGCAATATCTAAGGTCCAGGCGACCTGTTGGCGAAGGCCATGCTGCTTTGTTAGCTCGACTCCCAACAAAACGCTTTGAGAGGAAGCGACCGCCCAAAGCACTGCTGCATCCCGGGATGGAAACTCATGAACTTCCCCAAGCGCCAGGCGAGAGCTTGGAACCGGAGCCGACCCGCATGCAGAGACGGGCCGGGCGCAGGTGACCCTCTTTAGACCATGCCCTAGTTGTGAGGGTGCCGGTGTTGGTGGTGCTGCAGGTCGCGCAGCAGCACTGACAAAAATAGAGCAGGCCCCAGAATGGTGTTTTATTTTTAAGCGTGTCCTGCTCTGAGGTTTTGCTTTAAGACATAAAAAAAAAAAAAAAGGAAAAGAAAAAGAAAAACCTGAACTGAGGGGGGAAGCTTTCCTTTGGGGCAGCGGGGGAGTGGCGCCGCAGTGGGTTGCAGAACACATTGACCCCCGCTGCTTCCCATCTTCTGCTTTGAGAGG